TTGGTCTTTTCCTCTTTAGGGAGGGTTCCAGTGCTCCTGGGGTACTGCTGCCCCTGGGAGGCAGCTAGTGTAGAGAAGAGTTGCAGTTTGGCCTTTGGAAGCTGCTGGGATGAGGACCTGGAAAGGATTTTTCCTGGAGAACAGCAGCCCTGGACTAGGGATGGATCTTTTAACTTCCTCACAGAAGAGTATCAAGTGGATGCTGGCTGTTAAAGAGCTCCCGGGACATTGTGAGTAGGACCTTACATAGGACTCTTGGGTGTGCTTGTGACTGGCAGCCTCTGTATTACCTTGGAAAAACCTGTCTATTCTTAGACATCTCTGCTAGCCACACTGACAGGGAGCCAGGCGGTACCACTGTACATATCCCTGCAAACAGTCACGAGCCTGTGCAAGAACTCTTGTTCCTAGGAGGCCGTGATATCCATGGGAATGGTAAGCGGGTGGATGCCCAGCCTCTTTCTCTCATCACTCTAGAGACACTGCATGCTGCATGCCGACACCTTTACACCACCTTTTGCTTTGAGCAGTACCACAACCTATCTGTTTAACTTCATTGAATTACCAGTATTCACTAATGTTCATGGTCCCCACCACTGCTAGCAGAAGACAACAGCTACCACCATATCAGGAACTTTAAATATCACAGGACTCAAGTTGCAATTTCTAGTTAAAGGGACCTCTTCTCTTCTAAGGCCATTGTTATTCAAATGAAAGTACATATATCTATTTATGCCAGAGTATACAGTTACATAATTCTCTGCATTCCCCCATTGCAGCGCCAGTGGCCTAGAGGAAGCTGATAAGTCAACAAGCATTTTCTTTCCCCTCCTACTGCTGGCAATGCAATTAAGTAGTTAAAGCCTACTATTCATGACTGTATAATCTGTTTAACTAATTGATTATTTCTATTTTACCAGTGCTTTGCTTTTATGCATTAACAGGGGTCTCCTCCTGACTCCCATACTATGAATGAGAACAACTGCAGCAAGGAACATGAGTTTACTACATCAGTTTCTGCTGCCAGTTTATAAATCTGGCAGAAACTGGTGCAGAATTCTTACAATTAGTCATAGCGATTGGCAAAAGCAGGAGAGTGTGACGTCTAGGTGGCAACCTCATTGCCAATCGCAGCACAGCATGTGTTCACATTACGTCAGTCCAATTATATACCTGACGCTGCATTCCAAGTCTGCTTTTTTCAATTTAACAAAGCCAGACATATTCTCCTAAATACAATGAAAATGCCATCCATATAGCGAGCCATCCCTTAAAGTGGTATTAAAGGTTCGACTTAAAAAAAAAAAAAAAAAACATGCCATACCTACCCGCTCTGTGCATTGTTTTGCACAGAGCAGCTCCGATCCACTCTTCTCAGGTCTTCCACTGGTGCTCCTGGCTCCACCCCCTTGACCAGTGCCCACCAATAGCAAGTTGCTTGCTATGAGGGCACTGGTGCGTGCTCGCTCTGGAGCCTGGCTCTATGCACCCATTGGACACAGAGTTGGGGGTCGGCTCCGCCCCCTGCTTTCTCCTTATTGGTTCACTGGGTTGTGATTGACTGCTGTCTCAGCCAATGAGGAGAGGGAGTCCCAGGACAGACGAGGCTCTCGTGCACATTGCTGAATCGAGAAAGGGCTCAGGTGAGTATTAGGGGAGCTATGGGGGGAGCAGCACACAGAAGGGTTTTTTTACCTTGATGCATAGAATTCATTAAGGCAAGAAAACCTTCTGCCTTTAGGACCACTTTAAAGCAGATCTATAGGCAAAACGTTTTCTTTCATTTTGGATGGAGTAAGAGAGGGTTATAACCCCTTTCAGTTCTTATTTGTCCATCTGTGCCCCATTGGAAAAAGAGTTCCCTTCTCTTCCTGACCCATAGCCAAAACAGGAATTGAGAGGAAATCCCTCCAGAGGAAATCCCTCCAGAGGAAATCCCTTGTTGTCACCAGGGTCACCAGGACTAGTGTTACACATTGGAAGATTTTTCCTCTATTCCTGTTCTGGGGACAACCCAAAATTGAGGATTTATTTTACTTTCATTTTTGGTGACAATGGTAAACAGGACAAATAGAGAGGGGGAATCTCCCTAACAGGGTCACAGACAGCAAAAACCTGACAGGTATTCTAATCCCTTCCGCTGACTTTAAATTTTATTCAAAACTGAAAAAAAGGCTTTAGAGTGTAGAGGGGTTAGAATCACTCTTTGTTAATGAGTCTGTGTCCCCAATGTGGAGATTTGTCTGTCATGTTTTAAACGCTCTCTGTGATTTCCCCTTACTTCCTGTTGTGCCTGACACCCACCACCTAGACAGGAGGTGAGGGAACATTTACTAATGGAGAAAAGAGGCAGCAATAAATCCCAACAGACATGCTAAACCTTCCTGTCTCTAATGCAAAATGTGTTTTATTGCTGCCTGTGGGGAGAACTTTTGCCTCAGTTCCTGTTCCATCTGACACCTGTCAAATAGAAAAATGAGGGGAGCTTCTATGGCTTCCCCCTGCCCTGCGCCCTATGGCACTGAGTCCGATGTTACTTCATGGCCGACAAGTTTGGGACTCGGTACACGTTATTCTGGTGGCCTGATGTCACCTTTTCTGCCTTTGCTCCCAATTATTAACAACCCTCTTTTCCCGCCGGGTTTGGATCACCCAGGGGCGTTTTCTTGGTGGGTGACTAATGGTTTTTCGCAGGTGCGACACTTTTTGATTTTTCGGTCCTTTCCCACCTGGAACTCTCGGGAATCCCGGAATATCCCCCCGATGGAATTTTTTCGATATCTTCAATTGTGACACTGGCTGCTCTCGCTGCGGGGTACTTCTGCGTTCCCGTACCAGAAATCTGCCTTTGAACAGCTTTGCCAACAGTGTCCAGGCGCTCCGGGCCTTATATCCCTTCTTTATGCAGCTCTGAACAGACGCTCGTCGCATACTTCTCTTTCATATGTTGTTCAGTGGGAGCGCGACCTGGGAGTGGCTGTGGATCCGGAGGACTGGAATAAGGCCTGGTCACTCATAGCTAAATGCTCATTTAATATGACCACACTGGAGGCAGCCTATAAGGTATTGTTTCGTTGGTACTGGGTTCCGGCTCGGTTGGCCCGGGCTAACCCTGCCTGTAGTGATCAATGTTTTCGGGGTTGTGGCTATCGTGGTGATGTATTGCATATCTGGTGGTCATGCCCGAGACTGTTTCGTTTTTGGTCTCGTGTGTTTGGCCTCCTTTTCACCTTGTTCCATCTCTCCATATGCCGGGATGCTCGGTATGCTTTGCTTCATTGCCCCATACCGTGCCTCTTGGCTCACCAGCAGAAGTTGGCTTCCTATCTGTTTTTATCCGCCACTAGAACAATTGCTCAGGCCTGGAAGAGTCAGTTTGTCCCTCTTCAGGGGGTGCGGGATCGTATGACCACTATGATGCTCAACGAACAGATGTCGAGTATCCGCAACGACTCCCAACGTAAATTTTTGAAAATATGGGAGCCGTGGTTGCAATATGCCTTTCCCTCACTCCCCCTAGTCTGGGGATGTAATGGCGTTTGGTTTTGGCGCTCTTGAATCTCTGCTCTTTGCCCCCCCCCCCCTTTTTTCTTTTTTTTTTTTTTTTTTCTCCCTCTCTCTGTTTTTGGTGTGACTGGACAGCTGCATTTAGTTGTTATAATCAGTTACATTAATGTTTTGTAACTTATGTGCCATTGATAGCCCTGCGTGGGCGTACCTTTTGCCCTGTTGGCATTAGAGCATTGTTTTTTTCCCTTTTTTTTTATTTTGCATTTTGTTTATCTGTGCAATTGATAGCCCCTGCGTGGGCGTGTTTTATTGCCTCTGTTTATACTGTTTAAAAAATTTATAAAAACCATTGAAATAGAAAAATGAGGGGAAAAAAAAAAAAAAACTTTACGTACACACAGAATCACAAAAGCTTTAGGGCTCATGTACACGGGGCGCTTGGATATCTCTTCTGAACAATGGAAACTGACTGCTGGAAAATGTAGGTTAAAAAAAAATCAGTTTTAGCCACGTTTGCATACCAGCCGCATTTATGCACATTTGCGTTTAAAAACGTTTTTTTTAAAAGATAACCTCGGTAACCCCTCCCAAATGCCCAGAATGCACTGAAAAAACAGTAAATTCACTAAAAAAGGCTACTAAAATACCGCAGAAGTTATTTGCTGGCAATTCTTTCTTTTACATTCAGCTGTCAGTGGGAACCCCGCTGACTGTTGAAACAACAACGCATGCTTTTCACTACTAAAATACTGCATGACTTGATAAATAACTCATGCAGGGTTTTAGTAGCCTTTTTTAGTGGATTCAAATGGGTTTTTTTTAAATGCTATGAGGTATCCTACCGCATACACGGATACCGCTTAGTGAATTGTACCCTGGATATGGACCAGTCAAAAAACGCTTCGAAACGCAAATGCTTATAAATGTGGTTAATCGCGTTTACAAGCATTTACACGCCTTTGCAAGTGTTTGGTGTTTGAAACGTCGGTAAAATCTACTCCTGAACACAATTTTGCTGCGTTCAAAAAAAAAACGACTGTAAACTCAACTTCCTGTAAACGACTGTATGTATTATATGTACATGGACACATAGGAAAACATTAGGGTGAGATCAGGGGTTGCTAAAAAAAAACGCTGAACAGCTCCTGAATGTCAATTTATCAGCTGCAGTGTACATGAGCCCTTGAACCTTCTCCACAACACAAAAAAAGTTTTGGCTGGAGTTGAGCTTTGAGAAATAATGGTTCTTGTTAAACAACACACCTCTTCCTTCCGATACAGTGGCAGGAAATAGTAAAGGACAATCTGGTAGCTTAGAGGCTACGGAATTTATGGTTGCTTACCCTCCGGGTACTTGTAGGTGTGTGTGATGTCCTCTCGGGTGTCCTTTCCCAACGACTTTGTGCTGATCTTCTGTCCCACTTGCGCCGTGTGCAGTGTTTGTTTGACAGTGCCATCTTTTTGTGTAACATAATAAATAACGTCTGCATTCACTTCAGCAAACACAAATGGGACATCGAAAACTTCAGCGCAAGGTCACCCTCTTTAACAGCAAAGACAGGAGCAGGACCGCAGCAATAAACCCCTACAAGAGATCACAATAACACTTCTATAAAAAACAGCAATGAACTTACAAAAGATACAAGACAATTTACTGTTTAAAACTTGTGTGGCATGCTGTTCAAAATCCAAAAGGCTAATTTCGAGCCCATGCAGGACTTTCATGCGCAACATTAACTTTGTGACATATGGCCTATAAAATATTCTAAATCTTGGCCAAGTATGTCTAGGTGGGAAAAGGGTCCATGGCAGATACAGAAGATTTTGGAATGGGCCAATGCTCCCACCTTGGAATATGTCTTGATATACTTCCGGAAGAGTAGAAGTTCTTGGCCATGAAGAAGACGAATCTAGGCTGATCCAATCAGCATGCTGCCCCCCTTCCCCCCCCAAAAAAAAATAGCACTGGAAGAATAGCACTTCTCCAAACGCAAGTAAAAATCAAGGTGCTGGATACAGATTTTTAATGGGCCAATCAGGTTATCACTGGACACATTATAGGAGATTTACTAAAACTGGTTGACACAGAATCTTGGGCACCTGTGCATGGTAGCCAATCAGCTTCTAACCTCAGCATGTTCAGTTAAGCTTCAGCAATAAAACCTGGAAGCTGATTGGTATTTATGCAGAAGTGGACACGATTCTGAGTCAATCAGGTTTAGTAAATAAACCCCATTAGGTCCAATTCGGCACCCACCAAAAAAAAACGCAGCACAAGGACAACATTCTGAGTTGTGAATCCACATATACACATTCGAAAGAGAGCACCAAACAAATGCCCAAGAGTCCAAAGTTTTTAATTTTGCTATGAACATAGGCACATAGCAGAAAAATGCATTCCAGGGGCCAAACAGATTCCAACTTCATAAGGGCTACAAAACAAATGCAATGCAAAAAAACAAATATAATGTGAAATCTTTATATTTTATATTTGAATTTGTTTTTTGTAGCCCTAATGATAGAAGATTCTATTTGTCTCCTGAAACACACTGGAATATAAACTGGTTATTAAAAACTTTGGTCTCATGGGCATTTGTTTGGTGCTCTTATTGGACTGATATAATAGGCTAGAACTTGTGATACACTGTATAATCACAGGAAAGGAACAAGCTGAAAAGGCCAAAGCTCACCTGCACTCTTTTCTTGTGGAGTTGGATCTACCACCTGCCATCCATTGTATGTTTCACCAAGATCTGGGCGGGTCATCCATGCTTCAACCCAACAGTGGTAGTTCCTGCAAGGTAAGGGAGATATAAGGTGATCAAAAGAGCTTTCAATTGTTAAAAAGTACTGACTTTATTCCGAGAAACTAAACAGCATAGACAGGAAGTAAGCTACACAACTAGTATACTGTTGCATCTTCTAGAGTTAAATCATATGTGATTGGTGTGGTCATGCATTATCACTTGCTTCTATGTGCAACATGCTATTTGTGTACCTTACTCCACAGGGAGCCATTTGTTCCATCTGATTAGATGTTCCATTCTGACTACTTGCTATTCCTGGTAATTGATCTTAGTGATTTTAGAAGCACAATTGAGCTATTAAAATCTCCTGTGCAACTCCAGCCTAATGAGGTGAATCCCAGCAAGGGGTTATGTCCTTCAGTAGTAAGAGATTAAAATTGTCTGTGCAGTTTAGCCCTAATACTAAAACGCTCTTACCAGATCATGTCTTTTTGGCCCTTCTGTTTATTCCCTTGGTAGTCTAGATATTGTTCAACCACCAAATTGCTGTTTGTATCATGGGCAGAGTAATAGTTGGTGATAACTCGACATGGAATGCCCAGGCACCTAAGGACTGAGAGAAGAAAAGTCAACATGAATCATCAAGAACAAGGCCACCCAAACTGGATCTCTAAAGCCCCACACCAGACATCATTTTTGTTTGGTTTTGATATAGAGGGGTAAGGTTTAAGGTTAAAGTATAGTAGGGAACATTTAGAATCTTTGACAGAGTTTTGCTGTTGTCTGTGCCCATTTTGTGGAGGTTTTCCCTCACATCCTGTCCCAGGGAAACCATTTGTGTCAAGAAATAGGATTAATCTCCCCAAAAGGGACATAGATGGTAATACAAAAAAGGTTTAAACTCTTTTCTACTTTAGTGAAAGAAAAAAAACAAATGGCTAGAGTTGGGGTTTCAGTTAGGTAAAAGCCACTGGGTTGAATGGCGAGCCAGATTTTTAAATATCATGGGGCCTTCAGGTATGAGATCTCTGAACTTGGGTTGCTACACCTATCTATTAAATATTAACTCTTTGGTGGAACCATCCCATTAATATCTCTCATGGCACCATCCCAAACTTATTCAATCTAACATCCCATTGTCCTAACCCCCCCCCCCTACTTGGATTAGTTAAGGATATGGCTTTAAAGTACCATCTAGACAAAATCCCACACACCAAGGGAACAGTTCAATGATGTCATCAAAAACTTCTATAAATGGTAATGGTGTTTGGCATGATCACATATATTGTTAACCCTTTGGCGATACACCATTACGATTTATGGACCTTTTTGATGACATCATTGCACTGTTCCTTTGGTGTGTGGATTCTAGTTATGACTAAGGCCGTGTAGGCTGAAACGCGTCAACTTTTTGTATCTTCAATTTTTATACTGTGGTCTTCTAGTAAATGCAAGAATTTAAAGAGCATCTACGGTTGTGTGGATCCTTCCTTACTCTAGTGTTGTATACAGCCAAGCAACTGTCGATCGGACACCCGTGATTCTTTTAAATTCAAGATATATGGGTTGTAGCACTATTACTGTGTTTGCTGTGTGGAATCTGTCCAGATGGTACCTCAAAGCCATATCATTAACTAATCCAAGTGAGTGGATCCTGAAGAAGCAACTTTAATGTGAAATGCTTTGATCCACCTTGTTATTTTGGGACAGAAAACAAACACCATCTAAGATGTACTAGATATGGCGACTGTAATGCTTATGATTTTAATGAAATTTTAATGTTATAATAATGTTCTTTCTTTTATATGTATGTGTTGTGGCACATTTAAAGTCCTATTACCCAACCTCTACCAAGATATTTGGGGGGAGTTGGAACAATGTGATGCTACACCTACCTACCAACTGCAGCCATGATCAAGGAGTCTCACTCTTGCTGCTAAGGTTTTTATTCATTTAACATTTTGGGAGATGCAGTGTGCAACAAAGACAGAAAATCTGCTGGAGCTTTGTAGAGAATTATCTACTGGATGATTGAGTCTAAGTTTTATGTTAAAGGCCAACTTCAGCCCAAACTTTTTAATTTTGATAGAATCGGTAACAGTGGGGAACGGCCAGAGCCTTCATCAGGTTTTTCTTGTCATCTGTCCAATTGGAGAGATTATCACCTGTGTAAGTACATAGGAGATATTCAGAAGAGAAAGTGGTGGAAAAACCCTCCAATGGGACATAGATAATGGGACACCTGACAATGTTTTTATTAGACATCTACTCTTCACTACTATATCCAAAAGTAAAAAAACAATGGCAGGAGCTTATAACTGAAATATTGGTTTTGGTTGGCTGAATCCTTCAATGCAAGCTTCACTGAATCATGTCACTCAACTTACCTGAACAGGCCACTGCAGCAAAAACCCAACACTGCCCATATCGTACTGGCTGGCATCCGTACTTTTTCCAGCGTCGTAGGACGTCCACGCTGCCGATCCAGGAATTGGGATTGATACCATCATCGTAACAGTTGTCCCAGCGACCATACAGGACCCCACCGTCATCATTACAGTTCACCTGTAAGATCATGAGCACATCGTAATGGGTATCAACATGCTAGGCTTTCGTCCTATAAGAGCTATAACATGATGAGATCCTATTCTGAGGTTTTCCAAGAACTTTAAGTTACCTGTAGCAGCTTTACAATGGAGCCCAATGTACAGTATATGAGTGATAAAAGGGCTGAAATGTTAACTGTCCTAGAGAAAATGTTTTCTTTCTGCCCATCTACTACTCTTCATTTATCCATCCAAGAATGACTGTGTTTGGGTGGAGGTGGATCTAGCATCAGATGTATATTTTCATGTTGAATAATGTGTTAAGGGTAACACTTCCAGATATTTATTATCTCTCTCAGAGATCATAGTAGTGCCCCTTACAATGCCTTCATCTGTATCTCTCTCTGGAAGGAAGTCATTACCTTTGTTCAGGTATTATCGAGGGCATTCATCTATTTTTTGGACTGAGATGCTGGCTCAGAGATGACAATCATATAAATCACGGTTCCCATGCAGTTCTTATTGGTGTTCGCAAATGGCTGACACAGATCAGCCCCTGCTACAGCCTCTTACCTTGTGACATAGTACAAGATTACAATGCTGCAGTCATATAATTAGCGGCGAGAAAACTGAAGAAATGCTTTCTCTAGCCTGCAGCAGGCTGATGACATCATCTTAGCCTCGACAAGGTCACTTGGCTGCAGCTCAAGGATTTATTTTTAATGATAAAAGGTAAAAGAGTGAAAAATATTGTATATTGTCTCAAGGATTTACTCAGACTTACTCACAAAGTACTGGGCTCATGCTGTCAATGTGGTTTACTCTTTTTTACTTTTAAAATTAGTGGCTTGGACCCTTGCTACAGGTATTGTAACTATAGCACAACTATATGAAAGAGACAGCATAGTCCCGGTAACTAAAATGCACAACATTCAGGCTTACTTTACACCTTATGTGCAATGGTGCACTGTCATACCATTCATTTCTACAAAGCACCTACTATGCAGTGTACTGAAGCATACCATAACACACACTAACACACTGCATCACAAAAAAATAATACAGGTACATTTTTTGTGCATTCTGGTGTGTCAGCAGCCCATTTAAATGAATAGGCTGCCTTAACACAGAATATAACTGGTTACTAACATTTACAGGTAAAGCTGATCCAGGGAATATCCAATTGCCTTTTCGGGGGATCAGGAAATAATTTTTTCCCCTGCAGGAGCAAATTGGATCATGCTTTGCTAGGTTTTTTGCCGTCCTCTGGATCAATTGTGGGTATAGGATTATAACTTTTTTTTTTTTTTGGTTGAACTGGATAGACTTTTGTCTTTTTTCAGCCAGACTAACTATGTAACACAACGCATATGCATTAGCACAATCCAATGGAATGGACAGGTATGAAGCCAGCCTTCAAGCTTGGTTCTCTTCACTGTCTTTGGCATGTCTATATCTCAAGATCTCAAGGTCATTCCAACTTCAGCATATGTATGCTTTCATCTTTTGTGAATCAGTGTGCCTTTTCCTTTCTTGTTCCATGGGCTGAGGGCAGAAAGGTGTTCAGGCTGTGTTTATTTTACTGAACTATGTAGGCCACCATCCTGATGTGCTATTCTGTGAAAAATGTGGGGTCTGCCATTGCTGAGCTCCTCTGAGCATGCTACTTGCCTGACCATCATGATGGCGCTTTGGATTCTATATATCTGAGTCACTGACTCCAAAATAAATATACAAATTAGATTTTTTTTTCTTCATATGCTACATGCTTGTTCTGGGTCAGTGACTCAGAACTACTGAAAGCAGACACAACTAGTTGACTAGTGTGACGGGAGTGACTTTTGGGGGTGGGGGGACCGCTGTATCATCTTCCCATATCCCTCTTATGTCTAAGGCACCCTGTGCCTGTTAGGGGGTACAGGGTGAAATGTTCTAATATGGGTTGTCCATTGTTCACTGCCATGTGGTTGTTCCGTTGTTCATTGTTCACTGCCATGTGCTGCATCCCATTGTTCTGTGTCTTGGTTTGGAGGGGGGTGTCTCCTGCACCCCTTCCCCCTGCTGGGAGGGCCTGATGATGTGTTTCCTGTTCCTGGTTGTATTTCCCCACCCTGTGTATATATCTTGTGTTTGTGTAAAAATAAAGCAGTTGGCTTCCTGTCTTAAGAAGAGTCTGGTCCTGTCTTATTTCCTGTATGGTCAGGGTGGTGTCCGGGAATCTGGGTTTGGACAGGGAAACGAGAGTATAATGGAAATACCCAAGTGCGGTCTGGGTTCGGTTCCGTGACAACTAGTATTCTCAATCACAAAAGGCCTGGTTACAATATGTCCAACAACACCCTGACATGCCTCACTGGGCTTTTTTGTGGGATTGGCGCAGTAAAGGCTTCTTTCTGGCAATTTGACCATGCAGTTCATTTATAGTCAAGTTTCGTCCTATTGTGCTTCTTGAAACAACCATACCGTCTTTTTCCAGAGCAGCCTGCATTTCTCCTGAGGTTACCTGTGGCTTTTTCTTTGTATCCCAAATAATTTGTCTGGCAGTTGTGGCTGCTATCTTTCTTGGTCTACCTGATCTTGGCTTGGCATCAAGAGATCTCCAAACTTTCTACTTCTTAATAAGTAATTGAACAGTACTGACTGGCATATTGAAGGCTTTGGATATCTTTTTATATCCTTTACCATCTTTATAACATTCCATTACCTTGTTGTGCAGATCTTTTGACAGTTCTTTTCTGCTCCCCATGGCTCAGTATTCAGCCTGCTCAGTGCATCCACTTGAGAGCTAACAAACACTTTTATTATTTATATTTTTAATTTATATTTATTATTTTATTATTTATATTTATTATTTTATTACTTATACACAAACACTTTAAAAAGCCACAGATGTGGGAAATGAACCTTTAATTGCTATTTTAACCTGTGTGTGTCACCTTGTGTATCTGTACCAAGGCCAAACACTCCAAGATATGTAAACTTTTGATCATGGCCATTTGGGTGATTTCTATAATCATTATGATCTAAATGGAGCCGAACAACTATGTCTTAATAAATGGCTTTATATGATCACTATCCTTAAATAAAACTCAGTTTTTTTGATATGATCAGTCATATTTTCAATATCAGTGACAAAATTTCACGATTTCTGCCAGGGTATGCAAACTTTTGAGCACAACTGTATATATATATATATATATATATATATATATAAAATGGTCTGTCACATCAAAATATTATGTAAAAATAAACAGTAACAAAATTAAATACACCAAATTTTCTCTACAAAAGATCTGATACTCACCATTGCACTGACAACACGACCGATGTACACTGGATTATTCCTCCGGGAACAGTCCTTAACTGGGTCATTCTTGTACTTGGAGCTGGAGTCTAACAATAAGCAACAGATTTCCAGGATTCCATCTTCAAACTGGACAAAACAAAAGAAAATAAATTCCTACCATTAGCAATAAAGGTTTACAGTGCTCTGAATGTACTGTCAGTATAAGGAGGATACCACTATTTTTCTCTATGGGCATGTAGGCTCATCTATGCAGTGGCCACTTGCCTTCAGCAGAACCTATACAAGTCTGTCTTTGGTATGAAACTGCAATAAGACTTTAAAGAGAACCAGTCATGATTGGTTTTATGCAGAAATGCCATGATATGATCTCACATCTTTACTGGCTTACTTATGACTCGACTTCACCCACTGCACTCTGAGGATAGTAGACGGGTGGGTGAGGTTAGGAAGTTGATAGGCCGGCAAGTATCAGACTTTTGGTGGCCTGTGACCCCTTGATTGCCTCAGAAATGGCAACTTGAATTTTAGTCTAGACAGATTCCTTTTAAACTGTATTATTTACTTTGCAGCCAATGGGACAGCAGACGTTCTACAGTAGTCCATTGCAGCAAATCATAATTAGTTTTTTGTCGAATTTAAAGGATGACTTTACTTTAAAGCATGTTGCCAGCCCTTTCCCCTTGCTCTATCTCTCTCTCTAGATCCTCCTGTGCTACAAACTTCAAATTAGCCAGTGACCTCCTTCATTTTCCATTGCCTAAGCCGACTCCGGCCTTTTTGCAGTCATCTCCATGAGTAGGGTTGCCACCTCATCCCTTTAAACCCGAACACATATTAATGACATAGGTTCTGGGGCAAATGTAATCCAGATATGGTACCAAGTGAGTTTATTGACCACCTTAACCACTTCCGACCGGCCGTTGCATATAAACGGCAGGACGGTGGCAGTGCAGGGTCGGGTGGCCGTTTATAATCGGCCTCCCTGCACCCTGCTTGTGCGCGCTCCCTGGGAGCATGCAGCACCGCGATCCGGTGCCCGCTGTGTCCTCCGGACACAGTGAAACACCGATTGTCGGACGGGACCTCTGTGCGAGGTCCCAATCATGTGATCACTGATTGGCCAATCAGTGATCACATGCAAAGTAGTAAGCAAGATGTCACTTGTGACATCATTGCTTGCTACGTGTGAAATCTGTGAATGATCACAGAGGTCACATGGTACAAGGCTATTCACAACAGCCTTGTACCATGTGACAAGCTGTGACCAATCACAGCTCACCCAGTACTTCTCAATGAGTGCAAGAATGCAGACAGAGAGAAAGAGAAATTATTGCTTTTACATCCTATATGGGTGTAAAAGCAATCAGTGTAAAAAAAAAATCTTCATCACCCCCCACAAGTAGTACAGTGTCACCATGGTGACACTGTACTGCTAGGGTGACAGTATGTAAAAAAAAATAAAAAATAATATAAAAAAAATAAAATAAAAATGTAAAAAAAATGTTTAAAAATTATAATTTTTGGTTATAAACTAATTTGGATTTTTTTTTACTAAAGAGATAACGGAATAAATTTTGGCCAAGATTTATGATGAAATATTATTTATTTGCAAAATTTTATAAAAAAACACTTTTTTTCAAAATTTTTGAACATTTTCATTTACATAGCAAAAAAAAAATAAAAATCCCAGTGGTGAATAAATACCACCAAAATAAAGCTTTATCTGTCTAAAAAAAATGGTAAAAAATTCATTTGGGTACAGTGTTGCATGACTGCGCAATTGTTATTCAAAGTGTGATAGCGCTGAAAGCTGAAAATTGCCCTGGTCAGGAAGGGGGTAAAAGTGTCCGGTCTGGAAGTGGTTAACCACTTCACAACCGCACTATAGCCAAAAGACAGCTACAGTGCGGTTGTCCATTTCTGGGAGGGCGTCCTTTGATTTTCCTATCATTGCTACATATCAGTGCAGCATCATCAGTGCCTCCTCATCAATGCCCACCAGTGCCGTCTCGTCAGTGCCACCTCATCAGTGCTGCCTATCAGTGCCCATCAGTGCTGCCTATCAGTGCCCATCAGTGCTGCCTATCAGTGCCCATCAGTGCTGCCTATCAGTGCAGCCTCATCAACGCACATCAGTGAAGGAGAAAAATTACCTGTTTGCAAAATTTTATAATAGAAACAAAGAAAAAATGTTTTTTCCCAATTTTTTGCTCTTTTTTTTGTTTATAGTGCAAAAAATAAAACACCCAACGGCGATTAAATACCACCAGAAGAAAGCTCTATTTGTGTAAAAAAAATGTCATATGGGTACAGTGTTGCATGACCGCGCAATTGTCATTCAAACTGTGACAGCGCTGAAAGCTGAAAATTGGCTTGGGCAGGAAGGGGGTTAAAGTGCCCGGTAGGCAAGTGGTTAATGAGCCACAGAACCTCTGTAATTAATATGTGTTCAGTTTTAAAGGGATGAGGTGGCAACCCTATTCATGAGCCAGCTGGCTGCATCATACTTGGCACACGTGGCTTTTCTCCATAGGCCCTGATGGAGAAGCTGCCACCCTGCAGCCTGATCTAAAGTCTGAAGTAGAGGATATAGATGGGTTAAAAGAAGTTATCCTTTATTTACAATAAAAGGCTCAGTGCACTGCCATTAGATAAATACAAAATTGACAAAATGAATTCAGTTTTCTTTAATTCTTCATAGCATGCGCAAGAGTAGGAATCTCAGTTTTTCATTTATGTGGGTGTCCCTGTTGGGAAGATTTCCTTTCACTTCCTGTCCCAAGACACCCGGGGCATTGCCAAAAGCTGAACTTTCTGTTTCCTTTCTCTGAAATACTTTCATGTATTGTTCTGGAGAATCCACTAGGGGCTAGTTACTGTGACAGGATAATTTGCCTCCTAGTAGTGTAACATCAGGAGCTCCTTGTTCTAAAGCAATATCTTGCTTTTTAATTAGACTGAGACTCTACCCTGCATGACTCTATGGATGAGATTATCATGTTTAAAGTGAATCTGTGTGAACACATACTAGAACTGCCGCTGCTATTAAAATGTATGTTTTCAGGCTGTCATCTTGTCCTGGCCTCCCTAACTAGTGTATTCCTGACCTGAATGCAGGATGGAAGTTCAGACTTTTTAGACCAGTGGCCCCAAACTGTAGTCCTTTTCTTGCCTTTAACTGGCTCATGAGGCACTATTCCTCCCACTGACACCAACAACAGAGCACTATTTCTCCCACTGACACCATAAATGGGGGCACTTTTCCTTCCACTGACACCAAAAATGGGGGCACTATTCCTCCCACTGACACCATAAATGGGGGAAATATTCCTCCCACTGACACCATAAATGGGGGAAATATTCCTCCCACTGACACCATAAATGGGGGAACTATTCCTTCCACTGACACCATAAATGGAAGCACTATTCCTTTCACTGACACCATAAATGGGGGCACTATTCCTTCCACTGACACCATAAATGGGGGTGCTATTCCTTCCACTGACACCAAAAATAGGAACACTATTCCTCCCACTGACACCAACAACAGAGAACTATTCCTCCCACTGACACTATAAATGGGGGAACTATTCCTTCCACTGACACCAAAAATAAGAGCTTTATTCCTCTCACTGACACTATAAATGGGGGCGCTATTCCCACTGACACCATAAATGGGGGTGCTATTCCTTCCACTGACACCAAAAATGGGGGAAATATTCCTCCCACTGACACCAAACATAGGAGCGCTATTCCTCTCACTGACACCATAAATGGGGACCTATTGTTTCCACTGACACCATAAATGGGGGAACTATTCCTTCCACTGACACCAAAAATGGAAGCTCTATTCCTTCCACTGACACCATAAATGGAGGCCCTATTCCTTCCACTGACACCATAAATGGGGGCGCTATTCCCACTGACATCATAAATGGGGGCGCTATTCCCACTGACACCATAAATGGGGGTGCTATTCCTTCCACTGACACCAAAAATGGGGGCCCTACTCCTAGGAGTCACACACGCTCACTCCCTCAGTGGTGTTACCAGGCTGCTCATCATTTCCTGCACGGCAGTCCTTTCAAGCTAGTGCATACAGCAGATGAAGCTCCTGCATTTCTTACTGCGCTCCTGGCTTTGCATCCCGCTCTCTAAGGCACCCATCCTCTCTGCACCTTCAGTGGCTGCCTTTCCATCCAGCTCCCAGTGGCTCAAGCCATCCATCTGCCTGCGGTTATGGACTTTTGCCATAATGACATGTCTGCAAACACTTCACCCTTCTGAGTGCAATATTATATGACTAACTACTTTTTAATAAATTGACATACTACACTATATTAGTTCCGTAGGCACCTTTCTCCCCTTCCCCAATAATTCATTTTGCCACTATTCCTTCCACTGACACAAAAAATGAGGCGCTATTCCGCTCACTGACACCAACAATGGGGCACTATTTCTACCACTGACACCATCGATGGGGCACTACTCCTACCCAGGGCCTTTTTTCTCAAAAAAGAGGTGCAGGAAGTACCCCCTTATGAATCACTTGTTGTCTCCGCCCCCTATCCACTTGTGAGCACTTGGTTCCTACCCACCCCATAGTACCCCTCCTGATAGAGAATACAGAGCCAATTATTTTGTGGTGCTAAGTAATTTGTATAGAATTTGTTAATGATAACAAGACAAGCAATAGACCCCGCCCCCAGCAACAATTAATTCCCCCAGTAACTGTGGACCATGGCAACAAAATACCACCTCACCCTTCAGACTCCTCTCGCATTACTAACCTACTAAGTGACATATCGGCATGGATGTCACTCCACTTCCTCAAACTCAATCTTTCCAAAACTGAGCTCTTAGTATTCCCCCCAGCCCGTGCCCCCTCCCCTGACTTCTCCATCAAGATCAATAATACAATCATCAGTCCCTCCCCTCATTCCAGGGTACTAGGTGTAATCCAAGACTCCCATCTGTCCCCAAATCCAATCACTGTCCAAATCTTGTAGACTTGTAGACTTCATCTCCGCAACATCTCCAAGATACGCCCGTTCCTAACCTCAGAAACCACTAAGCAACTTATTCACTCCCTTGTTATATCTCGCCTTGAATATTGTAACTCCCTC